GCTATCCCTTTTTAAGAGCAAACTAAGTCCTAGAGGGGTTTTCTATATTCTCTCTTAACATAATTCAAAGGCACTTTATGGGTGCGTGCAACCTTGGGCAGATTCGGTTGGCAGTAAATCACAAACTAGTAGAATTAAATATACATATTATATATAAAACATAGAAATTGTGAACATGCGACATTTCTGCATAAACTTTCCCACAACACATGTGCTTTGTAAACGAAACGATCTTGTCAACCCTATTCGGAGCGCGAGGGGGAAGGGTTATATCAGCCTCGCAGCCTGGTGATTTCATTTCACATATTCCAACAAGGTGGTGTCCCCAAGACAGCTAAGTTGGTGCCAATAAGTCCAATTTCACTATGAGATTTCTAGGTGATATGTCTATAGTTTTCATGGGCTTATAACCAATTTATAACTGGGGGGCACCACCTTGAAAACAAATGATGGGCCAACAAAAATAAGACTCTAATTTTGGATAACTTTGATTTCTGAAACAATCAAGTCTCGTTGTCTTGTTCAAATGGCAAGTCTCCCAAAATGGCAATGCTCCCGGCTAGCCCTGATGCCGTATCAATTTGTCAGCTAAGGCGTGGACGTAGTTTTCCCCGGGCTTGTCATCAAACATCTTGTGCCTCAAGATGCTGTGAGATACGGTTTTTGCTGGAAAAGCTGTATATATATAATATATTCACATGGATATGTATGATAATATCATTATGTCTTATATGGGTATCGGCATCGGTTTTGTACTGGTTGGTGGTTTCAACCCCTCTGAACAATATAAAAGTCAGTTGGGATGATTATTCCCACCTGAATGGAAAAAGAAAAAATGTTCCAAACCACCAACCATATACATATATATATATATATTATATCACCATTTTTGTTGGTTAAATTCCATATATTATGGAAAATAAAAGCCATATTTCCAATTTCCAAACCACCAAGCAGTAAATATAGCCATTATTGTCCATCAATTGCTATCAATAATCATCCATTCCCATAACCAGTGTATTATGTATGATGGGTTCATTGGGTTCATTCTTGATACTATTGAGGCAGTGGAAGGTCCCCTGGGGTGGTGCCCCGGATCGTCATGGCATCTAGTGATGGCCGGATGGCATCCTATTTGGAGCTCCAGATATAGCTTGAAAATTGTGAAGTAGATAAGAAAGAACACCTATCATTAAGTATATTATATAATATATATATATATGTACACATAATCACACTTGTATATATATATATATATAAGAACATCTATAATTAATCAATTATATATATACATAATCACATATAAATATAATATATATATATAATATATACCTAGACCCTCCATGTACCTTTGATCATCCGCAGGAAGAATACAGTTTCTGAAAAACAGTGCCATCAACAGTGCCATCAATGGTGGTTGTGCTCATTCTTCATCCGTGGCCCGGCCCCACAAAATGCCGCTGCGGCACTGAAAAGGAAACTTTCGACTGCAAAGAATGTACCTAGCAGCGGGAAACTATCTCAGCGACCAAGGTCTTTGTGATCAATGGCCATTTCAGGAACCGACTCATTGGAGGTACCTACCATATATAAGGCCTAAATTTCAGGCCTATGTAAGGGAATATCCCCACAAAATATGGCCTGAAATATGGTACTAACGTACCTCCATTTTAGGATCCTGAATTTCCCATTGATGTGATGGGGACAGTTGACATGTCCCAACGCAAGTAAAGCGCGATGCCGATTCAACAGATTTTGAGAAATCACTGTTTCTTAAGCAGACCCCAGTCATGCGAGATGCTGAAGAAAGCACACTCCCCAAAATCAATGAGGGCCCACCGCAAATCAAGACCGATGATATAGGATGGTGACCCCAGTTATAAGATGTTATACTGTTGTAAGTTGGTTTATAAACCCCATGAACTAGTTACCTAGTTCGTTATATCTACCATAAACCACAGAATTCAGCCACTTTTCTAAGGCAACTTAGCACGCTATCCAACGGGGCCCCCATCCTGTAGCTACCCTCTAGAGATCTTCTCATTGAGCATGTGGATCACTGGAGGAATCACAGATCTCACCCACCATGCATAAAGTTTGTAGGGTGATTGGGGAGTCGAACTCACTCCGCTCACAGATGAGGTGGCAATAACGCTCCGCATGAAACTCTTCACAGGAATTGTACTGCCTGGAGTGGGCACAAATTTGATGACGCCAAGGATGCACGGCAGTGCATGCCTTGAATGTCCTTTTGTCTTCATGAGGAACATGATGTCTTTCGTCAGCGAATGCAGGGTCCGCAGGGCCCGCAGGGCGCACGTTGAGGCCTTTCCATGACAGGTCAGTGATAATGTCACTTGGTGACAGTCGGCAGATGTCCGAATTTTAGTCGCCAGAATCTAGTGAATCTGAGGAGTCAGCAACTCCAAGTCATCAACCTCACCAGCACCTGAAGGATCTACCATATATAAGGCCTAAATCTAACGGCTAAATTTTAGAAATTTTGGCTTCAAAAAAGGGGGTACCTCCATTTTAAAGTCCTCAAATTCCCATTGAAATCTGTTTGATCCCATCATCAATGTGTTACACGCATGGCTTTGTCCAGAAATAGGGTACCGAAGTTACCCTCTGGTTATTTAACAGCTGACTATGGTTAAAATTGCCATTCAAAATCATTAAAATTGATGATAAACATTGATAAACAAGATGATGTACCCATACCATTAGACATTTTGATGATATTCCAGTTCGCTACGTTTTCCATCACATGGTTTTTCCCGACCTGGCCATTGATGTGGCCGTTTGGAACATCATTTCCGGACACGCCCATGTTGGAGTAAACATGGCTAGGGAAATCCCTTCAAAATGGAGGTTTATAAATGGGAAAATCATCATAAATGGAGGTATGGATGGTTTATAAGAGAAGATCCTATTAAAATGGATGATTTAGGGGTACCCCTATTTCAGGAAACCTCCAAATGGGAAAATCATCAATCTATGAATGGGGAAACTTGCAATTGCCACGTTCGATTACCGGAGGGACCATGATTGCTGACAACTACATACCATTATATATGTTGGTGCCACGGTAATTACTACAATGCTCCTCACACCTTTCAGAAATCCAATACCCTTCAAACACTGTTATATTTTCTATGGATTACCACTAATGTGGGTAAAACAATAATTTCTAAAGGTGGCATCACCCATTCCCAAATGGGTGGTTTGTGGCATGTGTTTTTCCCACATTAATCATTCCATTAATCACCATATAATCCCTAATATAAACTCTATATGATCCTATATAATCCCATTAATCATCCTATAATCCCTATATTGTGGGATAAAACACCACATTATTCCTTTTTTATTCCTTTTTTTAACGTCATTTGCCGTTGAAATTCTATCTCACTTGGTCGGCTCTCCACCGTTCGGCCCATGGATCACGCGGTGACGCCCACTGCGAAGAGATCCGATGCGGTGGTGAAAATGCCTTCCTCGGAACCCGCGGCATTTTTCGGTGGTTTTCGGCCCATGGGAGATCTTCATGGTAATAATATGGTTATAATATGGTCAATAATGGTTGTAATATGGTTTAATATGGTGAAAATTCAGGATCCAACAGATGGAGGTACGTAAACGTACCATATTTGGGGCCATATTTTCTGGTGATATTCACTGTTTTTTTGGCCTGAAAAATAGGTCCCAAATATATGGTAGGTACCTCCAATGAATCGGATCCTGAAATTCCCATTGAGAAAACCAGGTCAAACACGCAGAGGTGTCCATGAAACCTACAGAATCCTACAGTCGTGGCCCTTAAAAGTTATCTGGTTGGTGGTTTCAACCTACCCCTCTGAAAAATGTGAGTTCGTCAGTTGGGAAAATGAAATTCCCAAGAAATGATGGCAAATAAAACATGTTTGAAACCACCAACCAGAATTTATAACCTTAGTTATCGGAATTGTAAATCCTAACTATCCAGCTGTTAGTCGGGCCATGACTGTATGTGTGGTTGGTGTATATCGTACGCTAGGGTGAACTATCGTAGATGTGGAAAACCCATGTTTTCCCTCGGAAAATGATCTACAAATGGTGTTTTTTATCATTTTTCGTCCACATCTATTTTAGTTTACCTTAGGATAGTCATTTAAGATATTATTCATGACAAACATGAACTCTATACTGTATATCATAATCATCAATGCGTTGAATTGTCATGTTACAGTGGTGTATTCATACTTGCGTAACATAGTTAGTGTGCCTATACTATAAACCAAAGGGGTGTCTTAATGTCTCATAAGTAAGCAAGGTTGGAGCGCAATACTTGGAGGTACATCCCACAAAGCAAAAGTGCGTAATAAGCACATGAAAGGGCCCTGATTAGATTTTTTCTGGTTGGTGGTTTCAACCCTTCTGAATAATATGAAAGTCAGTTGGGATTATTATTCCCAATATATGGAAAAACATGTTCCAAACCACCAACCAGTTTTGGGGTATAACGGTTCTTAATAACTTTCAATCCCTGGAATGCACATCTAAATACTGATTTTGGGGTTCCATATAATATATTCCAGAATTATATCCCAATATTTTCCATATGCACGAAAACATACGACATGATGGGATTCAAACCCCCGGTGATACCTCCATCAATGATTGAACCATGTCAACAGACTTCTTGGTGGTTGTTGGTCCTCAAAATTCGCCCAGTAGTCATGAATCTCTGAAACCACACTGGACTTCAAAGAAATTCTATCGCAATGATGGTGGAATATAACATCTATAATTAGCATTCATTAGCCCCAATCACTAATTTCCAGTTGGTGGTTCCACCCCATCCAAGAAATATTTGTTGGCTGGGAAAATCCTTCCAAATATGGGTGGACATGATCTTTAAACATAAAAAACACATATGTCAAACTGTCAAACCACCACATATAATTTGTCGACCAAATTTTGGTGTAAACCAACCACATAGTTCCTCTACCATGTCCCAGCTTCATAAGCTTCTGGAGCAATGTACTGATCGGTGCCGACCTGAGGTGGTCGAAATTCCAGAAGTCCATCGATGCCAGGAGGGATTAAGAAAGACAACTGATGCCAGGAGGGCACCAGATTCAAAAACAACAACAATTTATATAAGTTACCATCTGGTTATTTAACATAGCCATGGAAAATCACCATGCTATTAATAGGTAAACCATCTATTTCTATGGGCCATCTATACCATGGCTATGTTAAATAACCAGAGGGTAATCCCATCAGCCTAATATGAAGCACCCCATCAATGGTCCCAATGGAATGTGGAAATTCCCTACTAAACCATGGTTTCGTTGAGGGGGTGTTTAATATGAACCGAGGAAGGGATTACTTTGTTTCCCAGGAAAACACTCTTTGGATGGGGTGAGATATCCAAGTTATTGGTGCAGTGGATGAATAGCCTACTGAAAACCCACTGAAATCACCAGGGTGAACTAACTACCTACTTCGGATTCGCGGCTAGTTCACCACCAAGTAACCACAATATTAACTATCATGAACCATGGTTAAACCATATTTTCCCAACATTTTCCCAACATTTTCCCAAAAGTTTCCCAGTACTAAGCTACTTTGTAAGTGGGATGAACCACCAAGTAGGGTTATTAACCATTATTATCATCAAACAATCCCAATAAATACCTATTATTGACCATTGTTGATCCATTGCTAAGCCATATTTCCATGGCAGGACCGTCTCCAACGACCAGCCAAGCCCTTTGACCCAGTTTTCGGGTCCAGCTACGATTGTGACCTTTCGATCTTTCCTGGGGAGATGGAATGAATATGAAATATATGGGTGGTTCCATCAATGGAGGTATCCAAAAATTCCTGGTTTATTTCATGGAAAATATATGCAGAATATCATATTATATCACTAATATATATATATGATATGTTTATTATCACAATGTCCATATATTCTACCGTGTGTAATTGAACAATATGATGTTATAATAAATCAATTCGGTTCAATTTAAGAATATTATAATAAATCAATTCGGTTCAATTTAAGAATATTGAAATATAATATCATATTATACAGTGGAAATTATATGGAGAATATAATATTATATCACTAATATATAGATATATTTATTATCACTATATTCACTAATGCAATAATATATCTATACAGTGAATATAATGAACATGTATGGAGGTGTCTGTCAATGGAGGTATCCAAAAATGGTTGGTTTATTGCATGGAAAATCCCATTAAAATACCAGTTGATAGGTGGCTAATCTCCTTATGTTGTTTGGGTTTCAACCATCCAAGCTGGTGCAGGATTTCGCAACCATCCACAGTATGTCCATATATTCTACCGTGTGTAATTGGACGATATGATATTGTTAAAGAAATCAATTTGGTTCAATACCATAATATCATAACATATTATATGTGTATATGTATCACAAAATGCTATATCATATCATAGTGTATCACAGTAAGCTATATTGTTATATATTATCAAATTATATATAATATCTAAAACTATGTTAAACCATGTTGACTATATGTTGTATCAAACTGAGCTGTATATAAAATATGAAAGTAATATGATTGTATCCGTTTATGTTACATTTCATCAACAAAAAATGACGTATACCAACAACAATAGAAACGCAACACTATTTCCTATCATAAATTGATTGCATATTGTAGATTATATATGGATGTTAGATTGTATACAAATCATGTTATATATCAAGTCATATTGTTATTATCTTAGGTTAAACAGTATTGTATTGAATTTACATATGTTTTCCTATATTATTATGCAATGTCACATGATAAACGTCATCTTATTATTGTGACACCGACCCTATTGGAAAAATGATAACTTAACATATGATAGTATTCTATGCTATATTAAAATAAAATATAATATTATACCGTTATATATATACATACATATTGTATTATGTTATTTTGTGTTGATATGTCTTACGCTACAGTGTATTCTTGAAACATACGTATATATATATACTATTGATATTACATCTATAGTCTGTTAGCTTACAACATATAAACGCATATTATATATCATTATAGATATTAAGAGCACTATTAACACACCCCATTTTCGGGTTGATACCTGAAACAACGTTTGTGTGGTAAACCCTAAAGTAAACATCCAATTTTGGAGAGTGTATACGTTGAGTTTACCACATTAAGTGTGAAGCATTGGGGTGTATATGGGTGTATACAAAATATGCATTTAGTAACAGGGCTTACGAGGCCATGTCCAACCTCCTGCAAACTCGAGGCACCATCCCAGCTGGCAAGAAGGCTGCTTTGTTTCCCATTGTAGCTACTGCTGCAAGACTTTGCCAGCACAAACGACTCGTAGGCTTGCTGGAAGTTTGGGTGGTAGATGTTGAGCTCTGTCAAGCAGCAATCAGCTTTCTACGCGGCTTCGAGGCTCAGTGCCTAAGCCAGTACCCGAAATATCTCCAAATGCTAGCCAGTGAGTGGCAAATGACTGACGTTTGAAAATTGAGCTCTAAACTCTAGACCTAGACTCGAGACCTAGACGCTAGACCTAGACTCTAGACCGGAAAAAGAAAGATCTGTCACTGCTGATTCAATGTTCAACCAACCAAATAATCAAACAATGGGATGGTTCACTGGAGTGTCAAGTTGCTTCATTCATGACATCAAAGTGGTTCTCTGCTGCAAGGTAGTGTCTCCCAGTTATAAATTGCTTATAAGCCCATGAAAACTATAGATATATTGCCTATAAACCAGAGTTATTGGAGTTATTCGCACCAACTTAATTAGCTATCGAACGGGCACCACTCCACGTGAACTTTCATTCATGGAACGAGTTATGGCCCTGAAAACAGTTGTAAACAACAATTGGATAAACCAACTTATACGGGGTTTATAACAGTTATAAACTATTATAACAGCTGTAAACTATTATAAACTATTATAAATGTTATAAGTTCCTAGGATTATAAATGCTGCAACTACAATGTGGCCCCCCAGAGATGTTTGTTGGTTTATAAAGCCCATAAACTATAGTTGGAAGTATCATAAAGCATAGTTGGAGTTTTAAGCTATAAATTAACTTAGCTATTGCGGGGGCGCCACATTGTAATACATTACTTAAATATACTTCAATGGGATTATAAGCCTGGTAAAGAGCCACAATTGCATTCATATTCAGCCTTCCCTAAAGATACACATCTTCCCCATTACTTCTGGCTATATAAATTACAATAACTCACCAACCTGCAAACTTGTGGCCACCAATCTTGGGATGGTTCAGCCACGAAATCCATCCCCGATGGGGGCCCCCAAGATCGCGTTCAGTTGCCTGAAAAAAGTGGCTGAATGCTATGGTTTATGGTATGTATAGTTTATAAACCAACTTGTAACTGCGGGGCCCCACACTGTTAGACCGAAAGAAAATCGTCGGCCAAGGCTCACAATGTGTCCAGCTTTCGAAAGCGGCTGAATGGTGTCGAAGTCGATAATTTTGATCTCGGCGGTACATCCAAGGAATCTCTCGGAGCGTGGATATACTAACCATATCATACCCCAGGATTTTGTTGATGGAACTTAGGGATTTCCTGGTGAGTGAGGAGGAGTTAGGTGATTTTGAATTGAGATTCACTGGATTTCACTGGTATATTATATATATATACCTGGTTGGTGGTTTCAACCCCTCTGAAAAACATGAAAGTCAGTTGGGATTATTTATTATTTCCAATCTATGGAAAAATATAAAATGTTCCGAACCACCAACCAGTTTTGGTTACATACACTTATGGCCCTTAACAGTTGTAAATGGGCTTACAATGATTTATCACCTTAGTTATCGATAATTATTGGAGTTATAATAACATCTATAACTCTTAAGGGCCATCACTGTATGGGTTATAAATGGGGTACAGTAAACGTTGATATAGATGTGGTAAAATCATGTAAAAGGTGTCCCATTCGGACAATGATCTACATTGATGGTGGTTTTCCCACATCAATGGTCATTTCAGGATCCTGAAATGGAGGTACTGTACCATATAATGCCATATTTTGTGGGGATATTCCCTTACATAGGCCTTACATAGGCCTTACATAGGCCTTACATAGGCCTTACATAGGCCTTACATATGGTAGGTATCTCCAATCTAGGATCCTGAAATGGCCATTGGTCTATGTTGATCTATAGAAGGGTATATATGGTATGGGGGTTTCCTAAAATGGTGGTACTCCCAATAGCTGGATGATTTACGGGAAAATCCCCAAGAAAAATGGATGATAACTGGGGGTACCCCCATTAGCCCATGACTTAGGAAACCTCCATGTAGGTTTCCCTCTGGTACACGTTTACATAACTATGAAAAATCACCATGCTGTTAATGGGTAAATCAACTGTTTCTATGGCCATTTTCAATAGCAAACTGTTAGTTTAACAGAGGGTATATTGCCTTACGGTTATAATATCCGCTATAAACTTCGTGATCCTATCTCAGCTGCACATCCAGGAGAGAACTCTTAGCATTGCAGTGGGGGGTTGAATCCAACGAACGTGTGGTTTGTTCCATGTAATGAAATTTGGTTGGACATACCAAACATGCTTTTTGGAAACATATTTTACACAGAAACAACAACTATTTTTTACTTTTTGGAGAAAAGGTGTTGTTTTTTGAACGCTTGAACGAACATAAAGACAGGCAATTGATTGGCAACCATTGCCTACGACCAACTTCTGACCCGGTACCAAAAGCATCAGGGACTTAGGAAGAAATGGTTCCTCAACATGCCCACACGATAGCTAAGGATGTGCAAATAACTAGGTTATCTAAAGTTATCTATGGTTTATGGTAGATGTAACTATAATACTATAGTTAATGGTGGTTATAAACCAACTTACGACTCCGGGTCCTCGCCTTGTAAATTAGGAACTGTACTAGATTGCCCTCTCAGGTCTGTTTACATAAAAATTCAAGTATTAAATTCTCGAAAATGCGAGTGGTCAAAGCACTCTGCTGGTTAAACCTCCATTTTGCCGGCACAACTATCACCGTTTTCTTCATGGTTATATCCAACTCAACGTCCCACATGTGCAGAATCCGGCCAGTGGAGGCTCCTGATACGTTCCAAAACGTTTCTCCAACTTCTTTTGCTTCTGTTTACCCTCTGGTAAACTCACAGTTTGCTATTGAAAATGGCCATAGAAATAGTTGATTTACCCATTAATAGCATGGTGATTTTCCATGGTTATGGGACAGTTTACCGGAGGGTATGTCATTAGGAATGGAATTCCCAGACATCAAAGGCCAGTTCGCAGGAATCGAAAATCTTTGGGGTAGAACGAAACACCGTTTGCTGCAAGTTTACTCTTAACAAACTAATCCAATCATTGACTGTCATATGTGATGGTCAACTCTGGCATATTACTTGGTGGCTCATCCCACGAATCCTAAGTAGGTTATAACCTTAGTTATAAGTGGATTCACCCTACTTATCCCACTTATAACATCTTATAATCAGGCTCATAAGCTACTTCGTAAGTGTTGAAATTTCAACCTGCTGGTGAAAAAACAGGCCGCCTTTGAAACATCGTGTTGCGACGAGTCAAGTCAACGACGAGGGGCAAAAATGTCGCCCCTGCGCACCCGCGCCAACATGATGTTCTCCAGCTTGATGTCCCTGCCAGAAATTCCAGAAATTCGTTGAAAGCAACGGACAAAAAGTTGGTGAGTTGTTCCAGAGTGGCAGTGCCATGGCACACTGGTTGGTGGTTGACCCCTCTGAAAAATCTGAAAGTCCAGTTGGGATCATGATTCCCAACTGAATGGAAATTCATAAAATTCATGTTCCAAAACCACCAACCAGGTTATACATGGGATGATAATGGATATAGTTACATCTCAGTTAAATGGTGTTGTAAGCCAGTAGCTGTCAACTGCAGATAGTCAATGGCCTCGGGATTTCATAGGCTATGAATGGGGTTTAATGATGAGGATTTATAGATGGTGTAAAAGGTGTATCTGGGATAATTGGATTAATACTTGGTTGATAATGGCTACAAGTACCTGGTGGCTCAATATTGTGGTTACTTGGTGGCTCATCCCACCTAGTAAGTAGCTACAGTAGGTTAGTTCACCCCAGTGTTTTCAGTGGATGAATACAGTAGCGTACTTATCGTGAAATCAGCAGGGTTAAAACCTACTTAGGATTCGTGAGATGAACCACCAAGTAACCATTACTAACTACATCTTTATTGGTTATTAATGGTTCTATTTAACCATATCTTCCTAGTACTAACCATCATTATCCCATCATTATCCCATCATTATCCCATCATTATCCCATCATTATCCCATGCAACAATATTATGTTGCGTCTTTTTTTGAATAGAACACTCCCTTCAGGTGATGCCCCCAAAGTGACATGAAATTCCTGACATCCGACATATTTCATTGGCATCCTCACATGGGGATGGGTCAAAACCTGCTACCATATTTTGGAGAATAATCATCCATAAGCCAGCTGGTTGGTGGTTGACCTACCCCTCTGAAAAATCTGAGTTCGTCAGTTGGGATTGTGAGAGTCACAATATGATGGGAAAAAACAATGAAAAACATATTTCAACCACCAACCAGCCAGCCATTTGGGGGTACCTAAGATGTGAGGCCCACCAGTTATAAGATTTATAAGTTGGTTTATAAAGCCCAGTAACTATAGTTATAAGTACCATAAACCATATATAGTTATTGGAGTTATTTGCACCAACTTAGCTATCAAGCTACCAAGCTTTTGACTCATTGCCACATACGCTCAAACGCTGTATGGGCTCCAGCGATCGCAAGGCTGGTCCCAAGTGCGTGACGTTGGGACCAAGTCACTGTGATGTCAAAATCAGCCGGGGACTTTCGCCGGGTACCATTGTTGGAAAATCCCAACTATTTACCCTCCAGTAAATTAACATAGACCCTGGCAGATAGGGGTTGGAAGATTAGTTTCCACCAAAAATTGGTAATGTTCAGGGTCTATGTTAATTTACCAGAGGGTATATACAATACAAATATATCAGTAGATACATCCTAATAAATCCTTCTGATTACCCCATAAAAATAACCCATTGACAACCCATTATTCACTCAGTATCAACCCCCACCACCACCAACTGACATTACTTCTGACATTACTTCTGATCTATAATTTTTCTGGCATTCTATCCGACATTTTTATCAACGGGAATTTCAGGATCCTAAAATGGAGGTACCTACCATATAAAGGCCTATGTAAGGGCTATGTAAGGGAATATCCCCACAAAATATGGCCTTATATGGTACAGTACCTCCATTTCAGGATCCTGAAGATCTCCCATTGGTTTTATCTGGCATTCGGACCTTTGCCCGCCGTGGGTGCCCCATTGGACTGGACAATGCCGACTATCATATTCGTAGTTATATGCAGTGTAATGAATTATATACATACATATGTATATAGATAGATATATATATATATATCATATATCCCAATATTTGAAATATGATTAACTCGTTATGAATTCACTATTCATCCATTCATCACTCATCATGAACCCACTATTAACCCGTTAATAGCCCAGTATTAACCCATTATCACCCATCAAAATCATCTAAATTCTGCATGTTTTCTTAGGCTTCCCATGCTGCACCTGTGGATGCAAGAGGAGTGAAGGTCCCGAATGCCACAGAGGATCTGTCGGATGACTTCCTGCGATGAAAATTCAAAGTGGGCAAAGGTTGGACAGACCCCAGAAACATGGGTTAATATATATAGGGGTTATATATATATATATATTATATTATATGCGGGTTATATATATATAATATATATATATATGTACATGTTAGATATATATTGAACTATATATATATACACATGTATATATATTGTATATATACATATTGAACTATATATATATTATGGGTTATATATATATATGTATATATATATATATATTAATATGATTTAATATGTGTGTACAATGGCTCATATTCCCCAATCACCTACTACCAAGGGGATTAATGTTGTATTTGGAGGTTTCCTAACCTGGGGGTACCCCAAGCCAGCAAGGGTTTCAAAGGAATTGGGGATTCCGAGTCAAAACGGTGAATCATTGCCACCTATGGACCCATGGGGTTTCCTAAAATGGGCGATCCTGGTATACTAAAATGGTCCTGGCTGACTTGGCTGATTTGGGGTAGCCTTGCATCTTAGGAAACCTCCATATCAAAAGCCAAATACCCTATTCAACAATCCCATCCAGCTAATAGTAAATACCTCCAGAGCTCTTCATTTGGGGGATCATATGGGGGAAATTTCGGGATGCTAGGATTGGCATTTTTGCATCAGATATCGCGCAGTTTGGATCCATCCCCAGCTTGGCGACATCGTGGTGACGTCATCAGAATTCACAAAAAATGCTGGTTTTGAAAGATATTTGCTCAATTTGTTGGACAGTTTGTTTTTCAATCTGAAGGTTTAGTTGTGCCAAATTACTTTACTTCGAGTGATCCCCACCCTGACACTTACTTGTCATAGTTTCTGACATATCATCTGGAATATATATATATATATGGTATAATCTTCAGACATTCTATTCTGGCATTCTATCTGCTATATCTTCGGATAATCCCGGAGCCGAAGATTCCACCGGTTCTGGTGGTTGCTGCTAACCCCTCTGAAAAATCACGGAGTGAGTAACAGTTGGGATGATTATTCCATTCCCAACTGAATTGGAAAGTCATTCAAAATTCCATGGTTCCAAACCACCAACCAGTCCAGTTATAGGTTATAGGTTTTAAGTCCCAAACCTGGAATAAGCCTGCTGTGGGATCATTTCCCATAAAAATACCCATGATTGTTCATGAGCCAAAGCCATAGAGCCCGTCACATTTAGCGAAATTACACCTCCTAAATTCAACATGTAACCTGAAACATGGATTCCCAAGAATGATCATACTAATCTTGGATTTGCTTAAGGGGTCCCCAAAAAATAAAAAATATTCACTATGGATTCCCCAAATGGTGGATTGTCCATTGGGAAAATAACAAAATCACCGACTAAACAAACCCAGGTAATGGTTCCAGAGATGCCTTAGAGATGCCTTAGAGCCCTGGTGATAGTCTTTCGGAATGATCCTCCCACCGTTAGCCCTGGATGACCACTTCCAGTCCCAGGTCCTTCTGATCATCTTCACACAAACGTTCTTTCCCAGTAAGCACCTGTCGAAGATGGTCAAAGAATTGGCAAAGCCACAAAAATGCTGAACCCCCAATCAGCACCTTTTTTATGACTTAAAAAACTTTGCTTATATATATATACATAGATAGGTAGATAGATGGATGGATGGATGGATGGATGGATTCAGATAGATTCAAATAGATTCAGATAGATTCAAATAGATAGAGCTAGATAGATAGAGCTAGATAGATAGATAGATACTGTAGATAGATAGATAGATAGATGGATGGATGGATGGATGGATGGATAGATAGATAGATAGATAGATAATTAGATAGATAGAGAGAGATAGAGAGATAGAGAGATAGAGAGATAAGATAAAATACGATAAGAAAGGATAAGATACAAGTAAGACAGTAAGATAAGACAAGATAAGGTAAGATAAGAAATATAAATTCCAATTGATGGATCGATGACCATTTGACCATGGCTCATATGAGCCATTAAAAATTACTGCAGTTGGTTGAAAACGGCTTCTCTCGTACAGTACGGGTTATCACCATCCCCAATAAGCAGCGGCAGTATGAATCCCAACACATTAACCAATCAACCAGGCTATTGTGTTCCTAACTCATATGTCACTCAACTTCGGGGTTTTCTTAAAATGGGGGATCCACAATACCATTAGATTCAATATGATTCAATACTAAGGATGGAGTCTAATGACTGGATGATTTACGGGTACCCCCATGACTTAGGAAACCTCCATTTAACAATACTTAGGGACGTCCCTGACACTGAGCACCTCATAGAGGTCTTGTCCTGTGACTTTCTCCATGCTCACCTCAGAATGGTGCTGAATGTGCCCCGTGGGGCTGGATTTTCTTTGGGATGGTACCAGCAATAGTGGTGAGTTTACCGGATGTAAATATGTAATAATATGAGCGCTAGTAAGTATATATTGTATAATTATATATAAATTGGTGGATGTTGATTTTTGTGTCCAAATTTGGGGCTTCCTGTATTCTTACGACTAAACACATCGTTTTGCCGGAGGCACTCTCAAGACACTGTAAAGTATATGGGTCATTCTTGCATTCCTGAAAAGCACAGGTAGGGGACCTGTCCGCAAACCCTGAAGCCGTAAACCCTAAACCATCAGAATCTAGAAACCATGGCAAAAATCAAAAAAAAAACATGCTAAACACTTAAAAGCCCAAAAACTCTAAAACCCTAAAAGTGATGTTGGGCAAGTCGAATCGTCTGGGCGTATTGTTACTACCAACAATACATTTCACTAAGTTGACTGTGGCAGATGTTTCTGGTTGGTATACTGGTTGGTGGTATACCTACCCCTCTGAAAAATATGAGTTCGTCAGTTGGGATGATGACATTCCCAACTGAATGGAAAGTCAAAAAAAATTTCATGGTTCCAAACCACCAACCAGATTGGACCCTCAGAAGCATCCTGCAAGGTGAGGGTCCCTAGATAGCCAAGTTGACGCGCATTTGCCTTGCATAACTCTTGGGTTGATCAGGCGGATATAACGCACTAGTATTCATGGGAATTGCAAAACCGCCTAACACAATGGAGGAGGGCAAGGCCCTACGTTTCTATCTTTTTGGGGGCTACTGTAAATGTATACACGCATATGAATGTTTTGGCAAACCCAGCTGCTATAGACATCTATAGACTATAGACAATCCCTGATGTGCACAACAGATGCTGTTACTTGGTGGAAATTCAAACGGGCTAGCCTTGGGCTTCCCAAATTCCGATAGAATGTAAGTTCTCTGAAGATATGAAACTTAGGTTCACTGTTGGGTTTTCAAGCTTATCGCGCAAGCACTGTGTAGAATCCTGGTCCATCTCTTCTGAGGTCCCTTGGTCACAGGCATCTGGCACTCATGATGTGCTGACGAAGGCCATCGGTTTGAAACGTGGCCCCACAGTGTCGGCAAGCAGCATCACTCCCAGGTTCCAGGCATATTGTGGCTATCACGTAGGTGTGGCAAGGCAGAGATTTGGTCAAAGCTTTGAAGGCATACCGTGCATATCAGTGCTTGTCTGCCCCTGTCGATTGTGTCAAGGCCATTGAGCCATAACAAAGCTACTTGTGTAAGGACATTGCAGCTATGGGTGCGTTTGAACTCCTTGTTACACAGGCAGCAAGGGCTCCCCAACTGCAAAAGGCGGCCTAATTGCGCTGATTTCGTCCAAACTCCCTCCAGAAAAACCGCATGATGCAGCTTGTAATGAGAGTGAAGTTTTTGGGGACCATGTCCCGCAAATGCAGCAGGTATGGGACAGATATTAAGAATAAACATACAGGAAGCTCATCTAATGGGTGGGTACAACTCCCTGATTTCATCAGCATACTAGCTGGTTGGTGGTTTCAACCACTCTGAAACATATTAGTTCCAAACCACCAACCAGCTAGTCATACTAGTCGATCTTCATAATCTTTCCAAATATGGTTGAACAAAATGAAAGCACCAACCACTCATGGACTTTCGATGAGATAGTTATTGTATTCCTTTTAGCATTGCCAATCTTAGATACCCTGCAAAAAAATAAATTCTTTGCTGGTTCGTAGATATTCCCTTTGATACCAAAAGACTAAAGGATCAAAGTACCCATCTACGATTGACCTAGTTAGCATCTTGAACCCCAACAGACCAACCACTGTCTACAAAGCCCAGGTGATATTCAAGACGAGCTTCGTAGTAGGACGTCTTATCCTCAAAAATGCCATAGATCTCGCAGATGAAGCGACTTCTCTTCAGCTTCAACATCAGCTCAGCATTTCTTCTCCAGTCCTTCCTCGCGTGGGAAAAATATTGGGCCCCACGGTCGCGACCCGTTAATTTACTGGCGGGTCATTTATATCAGTACTGTATTCCCAGGTGTTGCTGCTTGTATCCCCAATGTTGTACATGTAAAACCCTTTTTTTAATGCACACTGGTTGATTTATTGAATTGGCTTCCCAAAATAGTGAAAAAAACAGATTGAACATGCTCCCCCAGACCGTGTCTATCACTAGTATCCTCACTGCTTAAAATCCACATTGTTTGATCGGCTATGGTGATATTGGATTCTTAAAACATAGCCAACACATATCACTTACCAAAATATTAAGCGAGATTAAATCCACATTCATTTGGTCACCTAATGTTACTTACCTATCGGCTCGGAGCCCCACATGCAGGAGCCCCACATAGCATGCAGCTTCTGCCAGGATGCTCTTCGCCCGGAATGGCGAAGAAGGTCTTCTGAATGACCTGCTTTTCTGGTTGTGGTGACTCTCTATTTAGCAAAAACACATCAAAAACTAAAATTGTACAGGATGAAAGTTGGGGATGGTCACAAAAAAAAACTGATAGTTCTGGTAGTCATCCGGTTGGTGATTTCGCCATGTTTCAAACCACCAGCCTAAACAGACAAAGACGTACGACGTACGGTTGGTGCTACTACTAAGCCTTGGCTCAGTTGGTTTAGATGAAATGCACACTGCTATAACATACCACAACTACGGTTTCTGGTAGATATCGTGTATCCATGAGATTCCATGAGTATCCCAGCTCTTTGGATAAACCAACTAACCACAAAGGGCACGGTGTTTTTCAACTAACATTGGAAACCGTACCATTGGTGTACCATTGGGCACGATTAACCATTAACTTTGGATACTCCATTAATCAACTAACACCAGGTTTCGAAATGATTAACCATTTAACACTGGTTATGATCAACTGCCATTACATTTATTTTCCATTAATTGGTTAACCATTAGCACAGGTTTATTATCACCAACTAACACCAGGCGGGACCGCCATGGTGGCCATGGCGAAAAAAGGGCTATCCCAACTTCTAAAACTAAAAAAAACGGTTATTACAGGTTCTTCCTATTGTACCTATTTTGAGCCCTGGAGCTAATTGATTTATTGGTTATTATATGTTATTACATGTTATTACATGTTATTACATGTTATTACCAATGATTGTACCCATTTTCAGCTGCCCAAGTAGCTCCCCAGGTCAGCATGCTGGCCCCAATACCTGGCCCAGTTACCCTGCCTTCAACACCACCTGCTGGCCGTTCGCCACCTTGTCACCACTCAGCTGGTCAGTGATTTTTACCAGAAACTTGGCATGTTTACCGTCGGAAAATATGATATGTGAGCAACTTTTAAGCCAGGATTTGGCCAACAATAGCTACTTTGCAGGGCAAACCAAGCCCAGAAAAAAGCCCCGAAGAGAAGGGACTCAAAAAGAAATGCTGAAACCTATGTAGTACATGTAGAGAAGCCGAGAACCAAATCCTCAGGAGTGTCAATTAAGAGGTTTTGAAAGGGGACAGCAACATGAAGTGGACCAATTATGCACTCCGGAGGAAACACTTGACTACAAATCCTCGGATGAAGCATGATACAACATCTCAGCATTGAGTCTGGATACAACAACAATAGTCTACAATAAACTGGTCAGCAACCAGGGGAATCATAAGTCCTCCAACGGGGTTCTGTCATTTATAACTGGGCTAACTAACCCCACAGCAGTGTTCAAAACCTTCTGTCATTCCGAAAAATACAGCTTGTGTAAAACAGATTCCCATGTAAAGAATCATGATAATCCCCCCATATATTGTTAATCATGATCATCCCCAATATTTGGTGAATATAATCGATAATAATCCATAATCCGTAGTCAACCAACAGGGCGTTGGCAGTTTCGCTGCACGATCCTGGCTATGGAAGCTATGGCAGCTATGATGGCCCATTCACTGATGGATTTACCGTAGTCAATGGTGATCTGGATGCCCGATTTACTATATTTACTATGCTTCCACTTAGTTTCCTAGTAGAAAAAGCAGCTTTAATCTCAATTTCATCAACTCCAATTTCTGCCAATCATCTTTCGCAATAACATGGGCACCCCCGCAGTTCTTGCATGTAGCACCTTCGGCGGACCCGCAGAACCCATCCGAATGAAATGCCCAGGCTTTGAGAATCACGGATTATGCCAACCAGTGATGATGATTCATAATAATGTGGTTAAAACAATAACAAAACTACCCATTTGGGAATTGTTTATACCACCTATGAAAATATATAAAAATGGTGGTTTGGGGGATGGTTGATTATTGTTTTAACCACATTACTCTAAAATGGTACTGTCATGAACATTACAATTGGATTAGAATAATTCAGAATATTAATCATCATACTGATACCGTTTTTTTTAATATATTATCGAAACCAGCCCTTTCCTTGCACTTGTTCATGCAGTATCTCCGTAGTATATACTGAGGATTCCTTGATAATCAGGCACCAAGACCTGTCTACTGCGTAGTTAACGCAACCAGAACTTGCTCTAGAAGGGGCCAGAAATTTGTGGTGTGTGAGACATACAATTGAGCAGGGATTGAAGTAATATCAAGCGGGACTGATTTTTAAAGCAAAAGTTGTTGCTCAGCACTTCAACCCACAAAAATTGTCATTGGTCTCAGATTCAACAATTTCAATACTCCCAAGTAGTGTCACCCTCGGATTGTTCTGCTTGATTGATTAGGGCATTCCGCATTCCCAAAAAGTGATCCTCTGGTACTCAAAATGGGGTTTTCCATAGTGGCTACCCCCATTGATGCTTTATTTCATGGAACATAATTACCATTGACATGGATGAGTTTGGGGGTAGCCCCATTTCATCCCATTTCCCTACGACTTAGGAAACCTCATTGATTGATGGTTATCCCCTCATGTTCTTCATAGCCCAGTGGTCAATCCGGGCACGGAAAAACTCATCCCGGGCAGGGTGTCCATCCTGACGACATTTCCCTCATATATATATATAGAATTAATCAGGATAATGCATATTCATGGCCAACCTTAGATCCTGCAAAAAATGGACCAATTTTTTTGCGAGTGCGAACGTAGATAATCACATTGATACCAAAAGACCAAAGGCTTAGTTTTGACTCATCCAAGATTGACCTAATATTAACATTATCAAAGGAAGTTGGGAAGCAATACTTCCGTGTTACGGACAAATAGAATTCTGCGACTTGACATGATGCAGGGTGGTAGATCACATAACAATACATAACATAACAATACATAACAAAAGAATAAGAAGCAGTGGAATTGACTGTGATGAAGGGTGGTGATAATGACGGGTGGTGACGAAGGGAAGTGGTGACGAAGGGAAGTGGTGACGAAGGGAAGTGGTGACGATGGGAAGTGGTGACGAAGGGAAGTGGTGACGAAGGGAAGTGGTGACGATGGGAAGTGGTGACGAAGGGAAGTGATGATGAAGGGGAATGGTGAGGAAGGGAGGTGGGGACGATGGGAAGTGGTGAGGAAGGGAAGTAGTGAGGAAGGGAAGTGGACGAAGGGAGGTGGTGACGATGGGAAGTGGTGACGATGGGAAGCGGTGAGGAAGGGAAGTGGTGAGTTGGGGAGGAAGCCGGAGCACGAAACCTTGTGTTTTTCCGTGTAAAGTGGCTGCAGCCGGCGATGAAAGGTACCTCGTGTGTGCGGCGGTTGCGGCTGCGGTCGTTTGGTTCCTTCTATGTGTTTTGCAACAATGGTGGTTCCTGTGTGTGTAGTTCTATGCGTTTCTTGAAGTTGTGGTTGCAGATCGCATTGGAATGGCCGCATGAATGTTGCATGGGCTTTGTTTTGGGGAGGAAGCCGGAGCACGAAACCTTGTGTTTTTCATTGTTTTTCCGTGTAAAGTGGCTGCAGCCGGCGATGAAAGGTACCTCGTGTGTGCGGCGGGTGCGGCTGCGGTCGTTTTGTGCGCGAATTGTTCCTCCTATGTGTTTTGCAACGAGTGGTTGTGTCTGTGTGCGTAGTTCTATGCGGTTCTTGAATCTCTGGTTGCAGATTGCATTGGAATGGCTGCTTCATTGTTGTCATTTGATGTTGCCACGTGCGTAGATAGGTGCAGGTTTGCGACGGGATGCTGCGAAACGCATTGTAATGGCTGCATGATGTTGCATGGGCTGTGTGTTGGGGAGGAAGCCGGAGCTGTTATTCCGTGTAAAGTGGCTGCAGCCGGCGATGAAAGCTACCTCGTCTGTGCGGCGGTTGCGGCTGGGGTCGTTTTGTGCGCGAATTGTTCCTCCTATGTGTTTTGCAACGAGTGGTTGTGTCTGTGTGCGTAGTTCTATTCGGTTCTTGAATCTCTGGTTGCAGATTGCATTGGAATGGCTGCTTCATTGTCGTCATTTGATGTTGCCACGTGCGTAGATAGGTGCGGGTTTGCCACGGGATGTTGCGAAACGCATTGTAATGGCTGCATGAATGTTGCATGGGCTATGTTTTGGGGAGGAAGCCGGAGCACCAAACCTTGTGTTTTTCCATGTAAAGTGGCTGCAGGCGACGATGAAAGGTACCTCGTGTGTGCGACGGGTGCGGCTGCGGTCGTTTTGTGCGCGAATTGTTCCTCCTATGGGTTTTGCAACGAGTGGTTGTGTCTGTGTGCGTAGTTCTATGCGGTTCTTGAATCTCTGGTTGCAGATTGCATTGGAATGGCTGCTTCATTGTCGTCATTTGATGTTGCCACGTGCGTAGATAGGTGCGGGTTTGCCACGGGATGCTGCGAAACGCATTGTAATGGCGGCATGAATGTTGCATGGGCTATGTTTTGGGGAGGAAGCCGGAGCACGAAACCTTGTGTTTTTCCGTGTAAAGTGGCTGCAGCCGACGATGAAAGGTACCTCGTCTGTGCGACGGGTGCGGCTGCGGTCGTTTTGTGCGCGAATTGTTCCTCCTATGTGTTTTGCAACGAGTGGTTGTGTCTGTGTGCGTAGTTCCATGCGGTTCTTGAATCTCTAGTTGCAGATTGCATTGGAATGGCTGCTTCATTGTCGTCATTTGATGTTGCCACGTCCGTAGATAGGTGCAGGTTTGCTACGGGATGCTGCGAAACGCATTGTAGTGGCTGCGTCAAGGTTGCTTGGTGCAGCGGCTGCATGCGTAATACTATTGTCTTTTGCAGCTGAAGATCGTAAATCGTATTGGAACGGCTGCATCAAGGCTGCGAAAGTGAATTGTCAGCAGATTTTCTCAATTTTGGCGCTAATAATTTTCCTTTTAAAATTCCCTTGAAAAAGTGCTTCAAAATCATCTTTTTGTCGCTTTGGCGTCGAGATCCGGTTTTTGGAGCTGCAATTTCCGACGCCATTGCACGTAGTTCTATCGTGCTTTGCAACTCAGTCTCTGCAGATCGCATTGTAGTGGCTGC